TGCATAGTGCTGCAGTAAACATGGGGATACAATTGTCTCTTTGCTATACTGATTTAATTTCCTTTGGGTAAATACCTGGTAGTGGGATTGCTGGTTCATACTGCAGTTCCATTTTTAAATTTTTGAGGAAATTCTGTACTACTTTCCACAACACTTAGCCCTCCTTTACAATAGGTCCAGGAAATGGCACCCTTATATCCTAGCTACTCTGCACAGCCAAATCCTGGCTTCCCCTGAGACAGAACTATGGCTTTCCCTGGTATTCACAGTCACCTCTCTCCTTTCTTCATAATTTACATCTTCCCTGTCATCCCAGTTGAACATTGGCTCCCTCTTTCTCATTCTCTGTGGTTCCTTTGCAACAAGCATCACAACATATGATTATTTGATACTCATTTGTTTTCTTATTTATGGTTCTTTTTCTCTGCTACTTACCCTCACTATAGATTACAGAGTTCATATCTCTTCTTACGATATCCCCAGGCACTATGCCTGAAATGCAGTGTTTAATAAATAGTTTCCATATGAAGATGAAATGCAAACCATTGCCCTTCCTTACATGGATTCCTGCAAAAGAACTCCCAATTATTATTTCTGCCTCTAATTCTCAATCTTCCCCAACTCCAGTCTTAACTCTGTACCCAGATGACCTTCCAAAAGACATCCCAGAACCTTTCACTCTGAGTGCTGGCAGACTGCTTTGGGGGTCTGGGAGGGACTGGAATGTGTCCCAGTTCAGTGAGTGTGGTGGGACTCAGATGGACAAGCATGAGCAGTGTCCCTCTAGGGAGGCTGGAGAGGATGAGAGGCCAGAATAGGGTCCCCTCCCCCACACCCCACCAACTGTGGGAAGCAGCTCTGCTTGTCCTCACTTATTATTTTCTAACAAAAAGGGGCTTAGCTGCCAAATAATCCCAATGCCATTGGTTTCTCCCTCAGACTGGGATACTTTTCTAAAATGCAAATCTTTCAGACACATGACAGATATTGCTCAATAATATTTGTTGAACACATTAAAGTGAGTTCTCTGTTTCAGTTCCTTGGCCTGAAAGGCATTTGGGGCCCGTTCGGGGGCTCCAAGGTGGAGGTTGCCTATGTGGACAGGAAAGAGCCAGAAGGACTCACATTTCATCCAGGGCCTCTGGGGCCCTGCACTGTGAGCATGCGCACTGTCCATTGGAGGCTCTTGGGTGACCCCCCCCTCCTCTGCTCACTATGGAAACCAATGCCACGACTGGCCTCTCCTCCTAACCCTGAGTCTGCCAAGAACAGCCTATTCCACAGCTGTGTAATCTGTTCCACATTACAGTTTGAAGTAACCCACCAGCAAAACTGTCTGCCCTGGAATATTTTAAGTTATAACTTCTTCATATATCTTCTGCATCTACAGAGCTTCTATTTACGGGATCTTGACTTAATGAGTGGACTTTTATGAGTTTCTTTCAACAGAATTTTTGTAAGCTTCGCACTTTGGCTGCTCAGGTGCTGGCCCCATAGGCTCCACCCTGGAAGAAGCCACGAAGCCTACTTTATCCCCAGCACTCTCAGAACATCATTGGAGCTTCAGCCCTAAATCTTATCCCTTGGATTAAGTCAGTTGTGAATGTCTCTTAAGTACTGCCGTTCTCTTCTTTCCTATAATGTCATTGGTCCTTTTCCGTATCATTCTGAATCTCTGCATCTCTAGTTTAAGGGTAGGCACCTTATTAGGTAGCTATCAAGCTACTGACCCCTCCTGTGGCATATGGGCAATTGTGCCTTTTCTCACTTAAAGACAATCCCAAACTTCACCTTGCTTCACCATGCCACCTGCCCAAGCCCGCTCCCATTAATTTTCTTCTTGGTGGGAAACTGAGTCTCTTTAGCATACCTTTGCCTGGGAGGAAGATGATATCACTTCAGCAGGTGTACAGTAGGGCTCCAGGGTGAGCAGCACCAGGGTCTACCCTGTGCTTGGTTTCAAATTTGAGCACTGGTTCCAAGTGTTTAAGCATTCCAAGCATTAATTGTGGTCCTGGTACACAGGTACAGTATTAAGCGGTCCTCCTATCAGAAGTTAGGCATGACATGAGCTGCAGCAGAGGTGGGGCACACTGTCTGCCATGGCGCTCTCAACTTCACCAGAATGAAATTCAGGCAGGAACTCAATTACTCAGTTCAGCCCAGGAAGCAACTGAAGCTCAAGCAGCTCTTTGGCCAGAGCTCAGATATCCAACCCATGCAAGAGCCAACCTTTATCATCATTATGCCCTAAACCTGTGATATAATTTCATGAGTCCACTAAATCTAGGAGGGCAAAATGTAAGAATGTAATTTTAATACGGTATTCACGTCAAAACTTATAGCCTATGACCAAAGCTGAGCTGAAATATAATTGATGGGTTCAAACACTTTTACTAAAAAATAAATTAAATGAACTAAATAGTTTATTCAAATAGTTAGAAAAATAAATATAAAAACAAAAGAAAGAAGAAAATTAATGAAGATAAAAATGCTAGAAATGAGGATTACATTTAAGAAGCAGAGAGACAAATCTGTTCAAAGACATTGTTTAAAATGAATATAACTGATACTTCTGTTAGATGTACTCAAGAAAATGGTAGATATGCAAAAATCAAAAAAGAAAGGAGAGGAATAAAGAGAAAGAAAAAAAAATAGGAAGAGGAGGAGCAAAAGGAGGAAGAGAAGAAAATGATAAATGGTTTCAAACCTGATTATCAGTTCTGAGTCTTTAAGCCCTCAGAGTATAATCTCCCAGTGTGGTCTTACTCCACAGCCCCTGGTACAGTACTAAACAAACTTCCACTCGGAAGTGAGATGTGGCGTGAGCTGCAGCAGAGGTGGGGAAGTAAGTCCAACTCGGACAGATCTGAATGATATCTAGGAATTACCCTGGTGAAGTGGGAAGCTAAGGAGTCCTGTTAGAGAGACTGGTGGGGTAATGATCCTCTTAAAGGTGACACATGCAAACCCAAAGAGACAGACACCACAGAAAACTTCAAAATCAACCTACTTGAGGAAAAATAAAGAAATTAGAAAAGCAAATAAAGTGAGGACTCTAGAAATGTCAATAAAAATATTTTAAATATTGGGTTTTCAAATGACAATAACCAGATTCCAGACAGCATACCGGAGAAGCTGATGGCTTTAGGAAACCCAGGAAGGGCTGAGGGATCAAATCAGCTCGGACCAGGATGCAAATCAGCTTCAGGGTCCCTGGCTCTGGGGGCCCCAGGAAGGACCCCTTTTTCATGGGTGCTCTGTAGGAGTGTCAGCTTCACCCTTGCCCACTGGGGATCGGTTTTGTATACTTGGGAAACACGGTACAATATGCTGCATCTCCAACCTTTGGTCATCTGAGAGAGACTACCAGGTATTTTCCAAGGAACCTATGGTTAAAAAAATAAAAAAGTAAAAAAAATTGTGGGGGGCCGAGCCCGTGGCACACTCGGGAGAGTGCAGCTCTGGGAGCGCAGCGGTGCTCCCGCCGCGGGTTTGGATCCTATATGGGGATGGCCGGTGTGCTCACTGGCTGAGTGTGGTGTGGCTGGTCTCAAGAAGGACCAATAAAAAGAAAAAAAAAAAAATTGTGGGGCGAGCAATTTGGGTGTGGCTGCCACAGAGATGGTTCTGTAAGAAGGTGAAGTTTCCACTTGAGCACAGAGTAGAGGTAGCAGCAGTAATTAGGGGGAGGAAGGTGCAGGGCAAAGAGGGAAAAAGACATAATCGTACAAGTTTGTGCCGATAAATAGGACAGTCTTTATTTTATGGAATCTCAGCAGGCAAATGGAAATGAAATCAAAGAGACCCAAGGGGAGCGGAAAACCAAAATCTGGGACCACTAGAACACTAACAATTTTATAAGTCTATTACCTCCACAAAAGTTCAAATTTCACATGGAATAATACACCGCGTTGGTTTTATTGTTTAACGCCTCTGATTTGGTGGGCAGGTACTCAATCCATTTTTACTGATATTTCTCGGGATTCCAGTTCTCAGACACCCTCTTTCACGATCCACACATTTTCCTGGGCAATCTCACTTGTTCACAGGAAACTCAAGTTTACACCCTTCCTGGAAGTCCTCTGGGAACCTTGCATCTAACTCGACTGTGGATATGCCCAGGTGAACTTTTCCAAAGAAACTCCCCTCAACATCTCAGAAACTTAAGGGACCCTCCTTCCCTCACACTTGTCTCTTCTGCAGTGGTCGTCCACCTCCCCCTTCCCCTCCCCACCGACAAGGGGAGGCCCAGGGCCGTCCCAGTCACCGCCCGACCCTCCCCGTCGAGCGCCCGCGCACCCCTCCCCCCAGCCGGCCGGGCCTGCGGTCGCGCAGGCGCAG